AAGAGGAGAAAAGAGGAAGAAAAGGGAAAAGCTTAGAAATCATCAAGAACGACTTCTAGCTTCCGATTAATCGAGGTAAGAGTGTGAAATATTGTTATCTTACCAATGTATGTGATTATGTATGGATTGTTTGGTTGTTTTTCCTCATTTTTCCATTCTAGGGCATAATGAGTTTAATCGGTAGAAACCGAGTTTTAACGGTTAAAAATGAGAATAAGTGGTAAAGTTTAGTCGAAACATTTCGGGCTAAGGCTACTGGAACAAGTTGGAATAGAATCGGTTGGATTTTGAGGAGTTTCGGAATTTTGGACAATGGGAAATTCTGAGTTCGCAGACCCTCGCTAGCTAGTTCGTTAGGCGAGCAGGTCCCAAGCATTCGCTGTGGCGAGCCAGTAGCGAACGGTCCCAGACTTGGACATAATGGTTTTGGTGTTCTTCGCTGGTAGCGAAGGGGTTGGTGAGCGTTCGCTAGACCTTCGCTGAGCGAGTGAGGTAGTGAATCAAGTCAGTGGCTTCTGTTTGCCTTCGCGAGCTTGTTCGCTAGGCGAACAGGTAGCGAGCACTCGATAGGAGCTCGCTAGGAGAGCAAGGTAGCGAGTGTGTTAGCATGTTGTTTTCTTGTGTTTTCCATCCAATGGTTAATTGTTTGGTTCAATTATGTTAATTCTTATATAATATGAATAGTTTGTGTATTATTGAGATGAGACGTGTTGTGGGTAGCCTTATGGCGTGAATCCTAGATTGTGAATTATGGCCTTTTGGCAATTGAATGCATTGTTTGAATTAAACATGAATGCATGATGAATGTGATTGAGTTCGTTGTAGTTGGCACAACCTTGTGAGTGCATATTGATTCTATGTGATAATGATGTTGAGAATATGTAACGTGCGAGATTCTTACTCACTGGGGTAGAATGACAAGGTGTCGTTCCTAGTGTAGTAATCACTGAGGTAGAATGACAAGGTGTCGTTCCTAGTGTAGTGATCACCAGGGTAGAATGACCGAGATGTTGTTCTTGGTGGGGTATAAGCGATGTACCCATAATCTCAAATGAGGATTTGTGAGAGTTGATGAGTTTATATGAGTCATATGGTATGTATATGTGATTGTTGTATGAAAGTGTGAGATGTGGCCGTTTGGCAATTATGTGTAAAATTGTATGTACTTGTATGAGGTGAAATGAGTAATTATATATATATATATATATATATATATATATATATATATATATATATATATATATATATATATATATATATATATATATATATATATATATATATATATATATATATATATATATATATATATATATATATATATATATATATATATATATATATATATATATATATATATATATATATATATATATATATATATATATATATATATATATATATATATATATATATTTGTGAATATGTATGCATTTCAAGAGTGTGTGGAGTCGTTTTGCATGTAAAGCATCATGATTGCATTCTTGTGTCTTGATCCCGTGGAGGATCTGCAGAAACCTCGTGTGCCCTTGTGGGGTGTGAGCGATGGTTTATTCTTGATCCCATGGAGGATCTGTAGAAACCTCGTGTGCCCTTGTGGGGTGTGAGCGATGGTTTATTCTTGATTCCGTGGAGAATCTGCAGAACGATTGTGTGCCCTTATGGGGTGTGAGCAATCAAATTGTGTGCCCGTGTGGGGTGTGAGAAATCCTGAAACATCGTGTGCCCATGTGGGGTGTGAGCAATGGGTGAACATCGTAGGCCCGACGGGGAGTTACTTCGGTAACGAGCGATGGTTCCATTTGGTTCTTCAATTGAACCTCCTGGATGAGTCGGTACCGCATTTGCATATGCATAGAGTCGTGAGTCGGTCTCTATGAGTTGCATTTATCATCTTTATATGTGAATTGGTGAAATAAACATGTTGTGTATGTTTATGTGAATTGGTGAAATAAACATGTTGTGTATGTTTATGTGAATTGGTGAAATAAACATGTTGTGTATGTTTATGTGAATTGGTGAAATAAACATGTTGTGTGTGTTTATGTGAATTGGTGAAATAAACATATTGTGTGTGTTTATGTGAATTGGTGGAATAAACATGTTGTAAATGTTTATGTGGAAAGGACATGGCTTGTAAAAGTATGATTGATGAATGTGCTGAATTAGGTAAACATATATTGTGCCATATATGTCGATTATAATGAATTGTAGTGAGAAAATGTGGAATATATATATATATATATATGTGTGTGTGTGTGTGTGTGTGTGTGTGTGTGTGTGTGTGTGTGTGTGTGTGTGTGTGTGTGTGTGTGTGTGTGTGTGTGTATTCTGTGCTTGTGCATTTATATATGATTATATGCATTGTTATTATGATAATATTTCTCACCCTTCTGCTGGAATGTTGTCCTACATGACATCGTGAAGGTATCAAGGTGTAGTACTGCTCGTAGTTGCGAGGTCGCTATTGGTGTAGTTGTTTAGTGATTTAATTGTATTGGGTCGAGTCATGCTCTGGTCATGTAACACTGAGATCGTTTGGGTTACGTTTCAGATGTATAATATGATGTTGGCCTCAGTGCCCTAGTGATGTTGATTTATGTGATAAACACAAATATTTCTTTTATGAAAAATTGTGATATAAATGAATCCGCTGCTACATGCAAATGAAATTTTGTAAAGTATGATTATTTATTTCAGTGTTAATGAACATGACAGATGGTTTTTAGTAATTTGGAAGTGTATGTGTGACGGCCTTTGTGAATGCATGTTAATTTTACACTGATTATGCTTATATTTTCCGTGGGGTTTAGAAGGGTGTTACAGATGACACAACTCCTAATAGAAAAAGGAAATGAGGGAGACCATCAAAGAAGAAGTCAAAAGTCAGTTCCAAGAGGCACAAGGGTAGACCTAAGAAAAAATGTGTGGATGAAGGAAGGTCAGTTTCCATCATAAGTGATGAAACATCAAGTGATGAAGATGTCATTGTTTTGAAGTTAAGGAAAGAAACACAGGTAAGAAAGTTTGTCGTGGTTTGTCAGATTCCGAGTATGAAACTGAGGACTTAGAGAGTGAGGATGAAAGTAGCAGTGAAGATTTAGATGAGGATGACAATGTTAAGTACCCATCATTTGTCATGCCTAAGAAGTTCAATGACTATAAGTGGGTTTTGAGAACCTTATTCTCAACAAAGAAGGAGTTCAGAGAAGCTATTGTTAGCTATGTTGTTCATAATGTAAGGGATTTAAGGTACTTGAATAATGACAAGACTAGGGTTAGAGTTGGTTGCAAGGAAGGTTGTCCATAGGTGGCCTTATGTTCCAAATTACCTAATGCACATACTTGGTAATTAAGAACCCTAAATGACAGTCACACTTGTAACAGGGAGTTTAATGTTAGAATGTTTTATTATAATTGGCTTGGGAAGGAATTGTTCACCATATTTAGGATCAACCCTAATGTTAAGCTGACTGCTATATGTGAAAAGGTACATGAAAAATGGAATGCTGGTATGAGTAGGATGAAGGCTTATAAATCAAGGAAGACAATGCTGAATATTGTTGAAGGGTCTTTCAAGGAACAATTTAAGGTTGTATGACTATACACATGAGGTATTGAGGTCAAATCCCAATAGCACCATTAAGTTAAATGTCCAAGCAACTGAAAAACAACAATCTGAACTTGAACAACAACCTGAAGAATATGTTAGTAGACCTTTGTTACCAAGTTTTCATATATTGCATATGTGCCTTGAAGATTATAAGAAGAGTTCTGCAGTATGCAGACCAATAATTGGTGTTGATGGATGTTTTCTAAAAGGCATTTATGGAGGCCAAATCCTTGCAGCAGCAGGAAAAGACCCTAATGACCTAATGTTGCCTATTGCAATGGTTGTAGTTGAAGCAGAGACAAAAGACTCTTGGGCATGGTTCTTTAATCTACTAATTTGTGACTTGGGTGGGCCAGAAGTTTGTAAAAATGTGACTTTTATCTCAGATCAGCAGAAGGTAACATTAAGTTTTTTTACTTCGTTCCATTTATGTCCTGCATGATTTTAATTTGTAGCATAAATATGTAACATTCAGTTTTTTACTTTGCTCCATATATTTCCTGCATGATTTTAAAATGTGCCGCAGTTAGCATAAATATGTAACATTCAGGTCCTTCATGATTTAAAAATGTTACAATGTAGTCCTTCAAGATTTTAAAATGTTACAATGTAGTCCTTCAAAATTATAAAATGTTATAATGTAGTCCTTCAAGATTTTAAAATGTACCATATATTTCATGTGTGCATTGTAACATACTATGTTTAATTTATGATTAGGGATTGTTACCTGCAATAGATGAGTTGTTACCTGGAGTTGACCAGATATTCTGTGTTAGACACCTTTATAGCAACTTCAAAAAAAGATTTCCAGGAAAATATTTGAAGGAATTGATGTGGAGGGCAGCAAAGGCAGCATATCCTCAAGCATGAGAAAGGGAGATAAAGAAAATGAGGAAGGTTAATAAGGAGGCACTCAAACACTTGTGGAAGATTCCTCCAAGATATTGGAGTAAGTCTATATTCAAATACAATACAAAAAGTGATGTGTTGGTGAACAATATGTCTGAAGCTTTTAACAGTGTTATAATTGAACCAAGACAAAAGCCAATTGTAACAATGATGAAGGAGATTATAGGGTACCTCATGGATAGATGAGAAACTAATAGAGCCAAGATTGAAGAGTATACATAATCTGTTCTTCCAAGAATTAAAAAATTACTTGAAATAAGGAAAGAAATGTCTAGGTTTTTTATACCAAGGTACATAAAACTTACAAGTTAGTCATTAACAGAATCTGTTCTTTTAATTTTACCAACACTAACTCAATGAATTAAATTTGTTTCAAAGGTTGTCAGATGACATGATTTATGTAGTGAGGCATACAAGTTTGACTGGTGAAAAATTTATAATTGACCTCAGAAGGTTGAAGTGCTCTTGTAGGAGTTGGATGCTAATTGGCATACCATGCTACCATACAATTTCTTGCATGCATAGTAGATCTCTAAACCCATCTGACTACATCCCTGCATGCTATAGGAAGGAGGCATACCAAGCTTGCTACCAATATTTCATATATCCAACAAATGGAAAAAATTTATGGGAACATACACCTTATCCCGACATACTACCACCACCTTCAAAAAGAGCACCAGGGAGGCCAAAAAGAATAAGAAACAAGGAGGCTGATGAAAAGAGAAAGGATGCAAAAAATGTTTCAAGGAATGGGATGCCAAACAAATTTTCAATATGTGGTATGTCTGGACACAACAAAACATCATGTCCTGCAAAACCAAAACAGGCTCAAACTGCAACTATTGTCCAAACTGACCAATCTCAAACTGTCTAATCCCAAACAACCACTTCAGTCCCAACTGTCCAATCCTAACCAACCAAGGAGTTCAAATTGCACAGTCCCAAACAACCCCAAGAGTTCAAACTAGACAATCCCAAACAACCACTTCATTTTCAATTGTCCAATCTCAACCAACCCAAAAAGTTCAAACTAGACTGCCAACATCATCTTCTAGAATCCAGACACGACAATCCATCTCAGTGTTACAGTTGCTTACTATGAGAAGAGGAAGACAGACTGGTACAACAACATTTCAACCACCAACAACAATGAGACCAAAGTTGGCTATTAGGAGAAAGACCAAATATATTGTCTTTTTATCTATAACAATGTTATGTTCTGTTGACTTATAAAACAATCTTATGTAATATTTTGGGATCTATTTGATCCATAAAAATCTCATGTAATGTTTTAGGATTTGATTTATTGACATCTGTTTTGGTTTTTAACATTATAACAATGTTTTGATTATGATTAGTTAATGTCATGTTTGGTAATCTATTCACATCTCATGTAATGTTTGGTAATGTAATGTAATGCTTAAGTATGCTTTGAGTTTCATAAATGTTTGATATTCAAATTTGTTTGAGGTTCACAATTATGTAAAACAATATGTCTGATATTTTTTTAAATGTAACAAACAGCTCCTTCATTTTTTTAAATTTTGTAACAATCACGCCCATCATGTTTTTAATTGGTAACACTTGAGTCCCATATATTTTTAAAATGTAACAAAGAAGTCCTTTCAATTTTTCAGTTGTACAAGGTATACTAGAACTGTGACAGATGTGATCAGGAATTGCAGACTTGTAAAACAAATTCTTAAGATTCATTTTGACTGGTCTACATGGTAAAATATAATTGTCTACAAATTATACTATAATTGTGGTATATAGTTATAGAATTGCAACACATAATCGTTTCATTAACCAAACCATTGTCAAGACTTACAAACATAAAACCACAACTCATAACTTATAAACATAAAACTATCAGCATCAAAACAAACAATGATAATTAACAATGATTTCCACTTTTAAACCAAATTACGCATAACACTGCAAAGATTAAAACCAACAACATAGTGACATAACCTAGCATATTCAACATCTTCAACAAGTTCTCCTTAGTGCAGTTCTCATCCTTTTCAATCAAACTTCTAAGCAAATTGATTTCAACATCCTTGTCATCACAACCAGAACATTTTAAAGTTAGTGAGGGTTGCGTCTCTTGTTTGACTTCATCCCTGTAATGGTTTTCATACCACGCAAAAAACTTATAACCGACATTTTCATCTTCACTCTGTTAACATTAACATACAAAAAACAAAAACTAATCACATCTACATAAACCAAATCCACAACCAACAATGTTTAATAACAGACGTACCACAAAGTATCTGCATCCCAAAATAGCTTCCCCAAGTTTCTTCCTTTCTTCTTAACTGTTCTCAACACTGCTTTGCCTCCACACGGACATGTATGTTTGATTCCAGTTTGGGATGCACTCGATATGAATGTATTACCGTTCGAACATTTCCGATTTTGTTCACTGTTACCATACGACGCCATTAATAGAGTAATGAGATTTATGGTTCAAAGTATGTCATTTGTGATTTGGGATTTAGGGATTTCCTTTTCAGAAAACTAAGAAAGAAGGAAAGAGATTCCACATCAACAACCCTCCATGACACTTCATCAACGTTAACTGTCACTTCATCACCGTATGTGCCATATTGGTTTTTTTGGAACGGAAAATTTTAAAAAGTTAACGATGCAAACGTTAGTTAACTTAAAGAACTAAAGTGTTACAAAAAAACCTACAAAACTAACTTATTATTTTAAAATAATTTAAAGGACCTAGACATTATTTTTGCCTAAATAAAACAATAAAGTTTGTTTGAAGTTGTAAAAAAACATGCAAAAGGAAAACATGAGTATGTCGATGAAGAAAATTTAACAATGTTTGAAGTAGTAAAAATACCAAAAATTGTTTATCAAGGAAAGAGCAGAGGTTCTTTAATAACGATTCATAAATGATAAAATACAAAAGGAAAGATCTAAGGTTGAAATGAAATTTTCCGATTCAACCTTAAACGATGAGGAGACAAAGATAAAAAACACATAAATCATGAAGAGAGATAACAGTAAGGAGAGAAATTGAGAAAAGAAAAACTAAAGAAAGATTGAGGTGAATTAAGAAAAAATATGAAAAAATATTATATTTAGTCACAATTTAATTTAAAAAATATTTTATAAAATTCTATTTAACTACGATAAATTTGAGATTCGGTACAATAATTCATCTTATACAGTCTTAAAAATAATTGTACTATTTTATAATAATTTAAAATAAAATTTAAAATTAACAATAATATATTTTACATATGCGTTAGAGCATCTTTAATGCAGGTTTTTAATAGTTAAACTTTTTATAGTTAACAATGATTATAAAGAATTTGCATTGGAATGACTATGACATGACATTTAATTCACTAACTTTTAGTTTTCGGAAATTATATAGCTAACGTATGCTATTTATTTTGAAACATATAATATTAAAATAAAAACACTTTGGGTCCACATATAATATAAAATATAGGGTCAAGTTTTAATTTTTTATAAGCAACTATCATTAAAGTAAAAACAACTCAAATCAACTGTAAATTTTTTAAATCCTACAAATCACTTTGGGTCCACAAAAGATATCTTAGTTTATCTACTTAAGATACTCCCACTAAAAATGCTCTTAGTAGTATTATACAAACAGACTCGAAGGCTATGTTTGGATAATTTAAAAATAATGGAGCGTAGCAGAACGGAATAAGATGGAGTGGAATGGAACGAAATATAAACTTCATACCACTATTTGGATATTTTGCAACGGAGCGAAACTAATATCTCATTCCACTATTTGGGAATTGGACGGAGCGGAAATCATTATAACTTTTTTATTTCATTTTTACCCTTTGCTACAATATTGATATATCCAACATTCTCACACTAAAATAATATATAAGTAATCATAGAAAAATGTCAACTTAACACTTGAAAGAAATTTAAACATACAGTAATAAATTAAAATATTCATAAATGAAATATGATTATTATAACTTGAAATTGCAAAGATTAAGTGCACAAGTTTTGATCAACATCATACTGGGTATTCATAGTAATTCATAAACAAAATCAAGTTTTGCTAAAATTAAATGATAAATATATGTCTATAGTAGATAATGGTATCAAGTATTGCTAATAAAAAAGACAAATATTGATCCATAATAGATAATGAATCTCTTCTTTAAGCATTCCACAAAACCTGCAAAAACAAAATAAAATAAATTACGCAAATATTTCATTCATTAAAGATAAAAAAAAATACTCAAAAGTGATAAATAAATATGTTAGCATTATCTTAATAAAAAGTTAATTTAACATACAAAACACTATAAAGCAACATAAATCATAATTTTAGATTTTGTTTTTAGTAACTATACCTAATTTTTGAAAAATGAAAAAGGCATGAACATGAAGATAAATCAAGATATTTAATTTAATAGAGCACACATATAAATACAGGTAAAAAAAATGAGAAGAAATATGATGTACCTTGTTATGGTAGAAGAAATATAGACTCTTTGCAAGCAAGAAGAAGTCCTGTGAATGAGAAAAATTGCAGTGAATGATTAGAAAAATATCACGTTGATTGAAATAAAGAATATGAACGGTTAATAATAAAAGTCAAAATTTGGAGGATAAAATTGTAATTACTTTATTAATTGATTCTATTCTATTGGATACACCATTGGTCAAAATAGTGGTATTGGATGACATGTGTTTCATCATACTCTATTCTATTCCATTTAATTTTTGTAAATATAAACAATGAAATATAACTTCACTCTATTCCACTCCATCCCTTTTCATCGACCCAAAGCCGTACTCGAGTGCCCGATGGACCCTAGTGGAAACATTACGCTGATAGTCGAGAGTGCTCCTGGGTCCTAGTGGGAATATTATGGGCATATGTCGACAAGTTTATTAGTCAAATTCTGTCAGTGGGCAATCGACCCAGGCTGGCAATCATAGAAACAAACCTATTGCCTAGCACGTGTTTATTTTAGGGTATAGTGTAATCTTTATCCAAAAGCTACTTTTGAAATGTCTCTATTTAAAAAAAAAAACTAACTATTTTTATTTACTTAAACCCCTATCCCTTTGCGAGATTTTCGTACTACCATTATCATTCATATCAAACAATTTCAATTAAAGCCAGCGTCGTCGAGTTCTAGCATCGCGTCCCATCACATCACATATAAAACATTTTTCTTTTAATTTATTTCTCTTTTAATAATATTTTTCTACGTGTTTAAATAATAGTAAGGTTTTTTGCGAAGCATAGAGGTAGAAGATAATGGAAAAGGGTTTGTTAGAGAAAGATAGAGAAGGTGAACCAGGAAGAAGCATAACACGGGGTTTGTTTGTTCAAGAGGTGAAGGATGTTGGTTTTCTTGCTTTGCCTATGATTACTGTGACTTTGGCACAGTATTTTTTACAGATTATTTCTATGATGATGGTTGGCCGTTTGGGTAAACTTGCTCTTTCTAGTACTGCTATTGCTATCTCTCTTTGCGGTGTTTCTGGATTCAGTCTTCTTGTAAGTCTTCCTTTTCTATTTTTGGCTTATTTGTAGCTTGTGATTATGTTTAATTTATTAATTTTTTTAAATTATCATCGATGTCGATGTATATGCGTCGATGTTGTGTTTAAGCCGTTAGGTTTAACTATTAGTTACCTATGTTAATATTGAATGAAACCCTAAGTTGTTGCTCTTTTGTTAGTAGTAATTTTATAGGTCAAATTGACTAAAACAGTAGTGCTAGTAACATTAGGTCTAACACTCTTCATTAGTACTGATTTCTTATTGGATGAAATACATGTGAATTACATCATTTGGAACTTGATTCTGCATAAAATTGATGGAATTTGGATGTATTTCGTCTTTTAAGTCATCTGTGTTAAAAGTAAATGTTACTTGTGCTACTTAAAAACATAATTGAAGTTTAAGATAACTAGTTTTTTTTCCCAATATTTACTCTAAATTTGTATGTGATCCAATGAATATGAAACTAATAGCATTTTTTGGGTATATGTCAAACAGTATGGAATGTCCTGTGCACTTGAAACTATATGTGGACAGACTTATGGTGCAAAGCAATATAAAAGAGTTGGTGTTCAAATCTACACCGGTATCATTTCTCTTGTTATCGTTTGTGTTCCTCTCTCTATATTATGGCTCAACTTGGGGAAGCTGCTGACTTTACTTGGTCAAGACCCTTTGATTTCACAAGAAGCCGGAAAATTTGCAGTGTGCATGATTCCTGCTTTGTTTGCTTATGCAACACTTCAAGCATTGGTCAGATACTTTCTGATGCAAAGTTTGATAGCTCCTCTTGTTATAAGCTCCTCCGTTACACTTTGTTTCCACGTAGCTTTTTGCTGGTTGCTAGTTTTTAAATCTGGATTAGGTTGCTTAGGAGCTGCGTTTTCTATTGGTACTTCGTATTGGTTGAATGTGATTATACTTGGATTGTACATGAATTTCTCTTCTGATTGCGAAAAAACTCGGGTTCCAATTACTATGGAGTCGTTTCTTGGAATAGGAGAGTTCTTTCGCTGTGCTATTCCTTCAGCAGGAATGATTTGGTGAGTTTGTTACCTCCTCTTGAAGTTGCATATATGAATGTTTGTGATCCGTTGAGAGTGTAAAACTTTATAGACTGATATCGTATCAATATTAGAGTCTTTATTTTTCTTGTCGATTTTCAACCATGATTTGTTTCTTACATATTTGATCATTTCAGCCTTGAATGGTGGTCGTTTGAGCTCCTAGTCCTTCTTTCTGGTCTTCTACCAAATCCACAGCTGGAAACTTCAGTCTTATCAATATGGTACAACATTTCTTACTCTTTCGTATATGAACTATTGTGTTTTGAAATTTGTTCTCTAGTTGTTACTCATAATCAAATATTGATATTGCATTCATATGGTTAATGTCGATTATTTTTTGTGAACAGTTTATCAATCATCTCAACATTATATACAATACCAGAAGCAACTGGCTCGGCTGCAAGGTTTTGATTCATTTACCTGAACAATATAAGTGAAGCTATTTCTTTCAATCTTTCTGATTGGTTTTTCTTTTGGTTGTTTTTTTCAGCACTAGAGTTTCAAATGCATTAGGAGCTGGACATCCACAGGCAGCGCGGTTGTCTGTGTATGCTTCTATGACTCTTGCTGTTTCCGAGGCAATTTTGGTTAGTTCCACCATTTTCGCCTCTCGACGGATTGTAGGTTATATATTTAGCAACGAGCAGGATGTGGTGGATTATGTAACATCTATGGTTCCTCTGATAAGTCTAAACGTTATAGTGGATAGTTTACACGGCACACTTGCAGGTTGGCTCTTTTTTTCATGAACTAATTAATGGAGTCGGAGTTATTATTCCATGTAATGTGACACTTTTCTGTTATAGGTATTGCTAGAGGATCTGGTTGGCAGAAGTTGGGAGCATATGTGAATCTTGGAGCCTATTATGCCTGTGGAATTCCAATTGCTGTTATATTGGGTTTCCGGTTTGAGTTGAGAGGAAAAGGACTGTGGATTGGGATACTCGTCGGTGCCTTCTGTCAAGCACTTTTGCTATTCCTTATAACAAGTTTCACTAACTGGGAAAAACAGGTTTGCCTTCACTTACAAGTCTCTGGAATCTTATGTTTCACTTACAAGTTCCATCAAACTTTGGTGTTTTAACTCTGACTCCTGAACTGATGTCTCTGCACAGCTATCAACTGAGCTGATATTTGAGATAATTTTGAATAGATATGGTTTTGATTGAAATATACTAATATCTTGAGGGTCTATGATTGCAGGCAAATAGGGCAAGGGAAAGAGTATTTGAAGGAAGTTTTGCAGAAGAAGATAGGATAGTTTTGAGCTAATGGAATGGATTACTCAAAGCTTACAGCTTGTTTAGTAAACATCGGTAAAGCTTATAGCTCAATGTGATTAGAGTAAAATATCAAATCTAAGATACTATTTAAAGAGGAAAAAGTTTTCACACCAAAAACAGAGTTATAAAATTGATGGAAATTTTTTCTTGTCAATTCAATTTTTGTCAAGACTTTGCTTAGTGTGTGTGTGAAACTTCTTATCAATATTATGCAGTAAAAGAAATTGAATGGAATTTTCATCTTCAACTATAAATATTTTAGTTTTTGTTTTCCAGATTCACATTCATTGCAATATGGACTCTAATTCCTTTTTAGCATCCCACCATTTCAAATATCAACAAGATGGAGGTTGCCACCCCCTAAATTATAATTTAGCATCTCTAAATTTTCATAATTCCTTGAGAAAATTTTAAAAAAGGATAATTTTTTACGTTATTAAAAGCTTTGAAATTTCTGATAAAAAGATGAAGAATAGTGAAAATTTTAAAATTTTTAATACTATATCGGAAATTTCAAAATTATTGAAATTTTTGATATTGTATCGAAAATTTTTGAGTGTGTAAAAAAAATTTTTTTTTTTATAATTTCAAAATTTTTGGTAAAAAAAAAGAAATTTCTAATACTTTTCATATTTTTTTTCAGAAATTTTAAAATTTTTGAAAAAAAAATAATTTTTAAAACTTTTGGTGTAAATCACAATTTTTGGTATTCCACGGTAAATTTTATAATATTTGAAAAATTTTATAAGGTAATTTTAACATAATTGGGAAGTGTCGGGTCTAAGTGGGGTGGTAGGTAGAGATGTGTAGAATTCAATTCAATAGTTTTAGGTTAGTTTTTTTTTGTCTAATGAAAAAAAGAAGAAAAAAAAACTGTCAAAAAATGAATCCGTTATTAGGTGGGAGGGGTTTGGGTTGATCTTTGGATTACCGAATCCGTCTTAATATTATAAATGCACATCCGATATTATTTATTTATTTAAATTATTAGTATATTTAAATTATTCTAAAATTTCAATAGTGTTTTCCACATTCCACTTCATAATTTAATATATGTCAACTTTCACACTTTTTTAGTTTTTTTATATCATATTTTTTATTTTTTATTTTACTATATTTTAATGAAAATAATAAGGTGATGACATATATAGAATTATATTATATTTTTCTGTTTTAAAAAAATTGACTTTAGATGTCTTTATTATTTTTCTTTCATGATAATAATTTTATTCATATCTCTTATTTAAGTGAATTTTTTAAAATAATATAATAAATTTCTTAAGTAATTAAATTTTTTTTCTTCATATATTCGGGTCAAGATGATATTGTCTTACATTAATTCGATTTAAACTAACTTATATATTATCGGATTTAGGTACGGGTTAGGGTCATTAAAATAGTCTGATCAAAATTTAAGACAGGATTATGGTTAGTTATAACCCATCCCGACTCGTCCCTTGTTCATCCTTAGAGCAACTTTAGTGCAGGGTTGTTAAACCAAAATTCTTTATAGCTTACGTTAGTAATAAGGAATTTGCATTATAGTAGTGCTGACATGGCATATGGGATGCTCTAAAACTAGTTTACGTGCTCTACACAAGCAACGTAGTCTAACTCATTATTTAACATAAATAATAAATTTTTATTAATTATTTAACATAAATAATAGATTTTTATTAACCATTTAATACCATGTGGGGTCAAGTTTTGGTTTCTTATATACAACCACCATTAAAGTAAAAACTACTCAAATCAACTATAAATTTTTTAAATCCTACAAATCACTTTGGTCCCACAAAAAGTATCTTAGTTTACCCATTTAGTTTACTCCCACTAAAGATGCTCTTAGTGATAGGTTAAAATTAATTCATCAATAGACTCTCATAAAAATAAAAATAAGTAGTTGAAAAAAGCTAAAATTTTTAAAATAATAATATATTTAAATTAAAATAGTAATACGTATTGAAGATGAAATTTATACAACAATATTATGAATATATGATTAAAATAAAAAATTATTAAAATTTGTATCAAACAAACTTGTGGTTTTAGTTTCTTTAAAAATAAGTAATTATTTTATAAGTGAGAATATAATTTTTAAATATCATTCAATCTTTTTTAATAATATATATTAATTTTTTCACATATTTGAATTTTTTTTTGTGTATATTAAAATATTTTCATTTATAATGTATTTTTTTATATATTAATATTATTTTTGTTTTGATATTATATTTAAAAATATTTGAATTAATATGAAAGTGGTTTCTTATATATAAAAATATTTTAATCAATATTATTTAGCAAAATTTATTAACATTTTATTAATTTACTATATAATTTATATTTGGATCAATAATTTCATTTTTTAATTTTATATGATTTATATTATATAAAAAAAAAAGTTTATTAAAATTTTATTGATTTACTACTTATTTAAATCAATAGTTTTATTATTTTTTTATAATATTTTGTACACGCTATTTTTTTATAATATTTTGTACAGTATATACATTAAAAGTAATATGTAAGAATGTTTTCTTAGGTAAATCTAGATAATTGTGTCTCGTATATTTATATATTATTTTAAATATAGTTACTCTTGTTTTCTTTAATTAAAAAAAAGGTAATTATTGTAATAATATCCGTATAGTAGAAATGATACAAAATAATATCAATATTCGTATCATAAGTTTAAAATTTAAAACTGATTATCATGTTTTAATGATTGTTTTAGTACGTGAAATAGAGGAAGGTTTAAAAATAGAGGAAGGTTTAAAGATAGTTGCTTTTAGAAAATACAATAATTGTAATGTAAATAAAAAAAACTTATATTAAAAATTAATAAAAGAAAATAAAACAAATATGTACTTTGATATGAATTATAATTGAATTGGAGAAAATAAAATTTACAAAAATGAGCAAATATTCTAAAGAGATATTCATATTGTTATTTTAAATAAAATTAAAAACTGAATAAAAAATAAAATAAATTGAAAATAAAATTGATTGAATTTGATTAAGAATAAAAAATAAAATACATGTAAATATGGTTAATTGAGAATGTTGTGTTATGAATGTGGTTAAATACATTTGTATAATAAAATATAATGATAAGAAACGATTTTTAAAAAGAAAAAAAATGTGATGTTCTGACCTGTAAAATTTTTTATACTATTTATCAATGACAACTGTTTATTTCTTTTTAAATTATATTAAAAATTTTAAATTTATTATATAATATGACAGAATGATATGTACCGTACCTAACAATTAAAATCTTTTCAAAATAAAATTGGATCGGTCAAGTGGATAGGAAAAGGTTTAGTCTATATTAGAAAAACGTAATACAAACTGTAGTCATACCATTATGTCACATTAATATACAATAAATTTGTTAGTCACAATCAATAAAATTGGTATTAAACAAATTTAGTATTATTTCTTTAAATGAAAAAAAGTAATTGAGAATAAACAAACGTGACTTTTCAAAAAAAAATTAATGAATCACGGACATGGACAGACATTAGTAAAATAGCATTAAATAGGTCGATCAATAATAAATGTCAATAAACTTTCTAATGCTGAAAAGTTTAATGAAATCTTTTAGTCTTCTAGTAAACACATGTTACTCTTTCATTATTTTTATCAATTTTCTAGAGAATTTATATTTATGCATCAAGACATATTGAACAATAAAATCTATTTTTTTTAATAAAAAACAATATGTCTATTGACTGATCCGTACAAAATTAGTAGGGAAAAAATAATATTTTTTTGTGAATTTTTTTTAAATAACTATAATTTAAAGAAAAAATACCACTATAATATGAAATTTTAAAAAAATTTCAAAGTGGTTATAAATAAGCATTGAGGCACCATATAAAATGACTAATATGTGTGGGTTTAAAGTGAGTCGTCATCTCATATGACACCACTACTTAAAATGTTGTCCTAAATTGGTGAGGAGGAGGTGCCATACCTTATGACGCACTTAGTTGGGGCATTTTTTTATATTATTTAATATTTTGTATAAGTAAAGTAATGAAAAGAAATAATAAATTATAACATTTATAATATAAAAAAGCGAAAATAGTGTACAACAGATGAAAAAAGAAAAATTAATGACCAACTCTATCAAAACGACCACCAGTTCCACATTGGGGAGGATTCGCGCGGCATCGAGGTCTACCACGAGCTTGTTGAGGTGTATTTGGTCTTTACGTGTTGACTTGTGGAAGAGGTATTTCTTGAGATGGTCTCGGCGTATCAGATAAATTTTGAAGCAGTTGACCCCAATAGCCGGGGGGCGCTGCCAACGGCGCTTCCGTAATTAAGTTCAATACCCATGTTTTCGTAGTTGTGACGGGGAGGTTGGGTCGGGTGTGGACGGTATGGTTGTCTAGATTGGTACATCGAATCGGTTTGGAAACGATGTAATGGTTGTTGTGGGGTTTGGTAGTCAACAGTGGATAGGTATTTTGTTGGTAGGAAGATTGTGTGTTCATTTGTGGGGGGCTATAGTTGGCTGGTGTGGGGTCGAAAGAGTTATTTGGGCTATAGGTGGATGGGATAGGGTCAAAAGAGTTATCAGGGCTACAGGCAGAAGTGGTGCCGATTTCGGAAGGCTGGCGGTAGGGGTAAGGCTCTTGTTGCTGTGATTGGGTTAGTGGCAAGTACGGGTTGCGATTTTGGAAGATTGATTGGGTGGGCATAATTGGATGTTGGGTATAACATGGTGTTTTATGTTGAGCATTGGGTTGTTGTTGTGGTTTTGAGGAAGACGCACGTTGCCTTGGGTCAATCAAATATGTCGGCTCAGACGCAAATTGTTATAATGTTATAACTGACCTAAACCAAATCATATATTGATAACTTGGTCTAGCCCCTTCCACAATAGAGTCGGTTAAGATGTGTCGATGTCGGTTCTTCCAATGCAGACACATCTCTTTTGCAAAGTCCTTCCAATGATTTACACTCCATTGTGTA